AGTGTTTGATAACTATTACATATTATCACAACAGGAAGAAAATTTATATTGCCTAATTAATCGACAGAATAATCTCAGAAGAGATAACACTGAATGATAAGTTCTAGAACATATATCTTCAGAACCTAGCATACATCATAAATATGGTTTGAAACTATACATTCCTCTCAAGGTGAGTTATTCATCAGTGACCAGACATATGCAAGCCACTCCAACCTACTGCCACCTTCCTCCTTAACTCCAAGTCTCCTTCATTGCCAGACTCTTTTTTTGACTTTTTTAATTTTGGTATCATGAATCTACAATTACATAAGCAACATTATTTTTACTAGACTCCCCCCATCAAGTCCCCCCTAAATACCCCATTACAGTCACTGCCCATCAGTGTAGTAAGATGCTATAGAATCACTACTTGTCTTCTCTGTGGGGTACAGCCCTCCCCGTGCCCCCACCTATATTAGGACTGCTAGTACTAATGCCCCCTTTTTCCCCCCCTTACACCTCCCTTCCCACCCATCTTCCCCAGACCCTTTCCCTTTGGTAACTGTTAGTCCATTCTTGGGTTCTGTGAGTCTGCTGCGGTTTTGCTCCATCAGCTTTTTCTTTGTTCTTATACTCCACAGATGAGTGAAATCATTTGATACTTGTCTTTCTCCACCTCGCTTATTTCACTGAGCATAATACTCTCTAGCTCCATCCATGTTGTTGGAAATGGTAGGATCTGCTTTTTTATGGCTGAATGATAATCCATTTTGTATATGTACCACCTCTTCTTTATCCATTCATCTACTCATGGACACTTAGGTTGCTTCCATTTCTTGGCTATTGTAAATAGTGCTGCCATAAACATAGGGGTGCATATGTCTTTTTCAAATTGGGCTGCTGCATTCTTAGGGTAAATTACTACGAGTGGAATTTCTGGGTCAAATGGTATTTCTATTTTGAGTTTTTTGAGAAACCTCCATACTGCTTTCCACAATGGTTGAACTAATTTACATTCCCACCAGCAGTGTAGGAGGGTTCCCTTTTCTCCACAACCTAGCCAACACTTGTTGTTGTTTGTCCTTTGGATGGTGGCCATCCTTACTGGTGTGAAGTGATATGTCATTGTGGTTTTAATTTGCATTTCTCTGATGATTAATGATGTGGAGCATCTTTTCATGTGCGTGTTGGCCATCTTAATTTCTTCTTTGGAGAAGTGTCTGTTCAAATCCCGGGCCCATTTTTTAACTGGATTATTTGCTTTTTGTTTGTTGAGGTGCTTGAGCTCTTTGTATATTTCAGATGTCAACCCTTTATCAGATGTCATTTATGAATATATTCTCCCATACTGTAGCATGCCTTTTTGTTCTATTGGTGATGTCCTTTGCTGTATACAAGCTTTTCAACTTGATATAGTCCCACTTGCTCATTTATGCTTTTGTTTCCCTTGCCCGGGGAGATATGTTCATGAAGAAGTTGCTCATGTTTATGTCCAAGAGATTTTTGCCTATGTTTTTTCTAAGAGGTTTATGGTTTTATGACTTACATTCAGGTCTTTGATCCATTTCGAATTTACTTTTCTGTATGGGGTTAGACAATGATCCAGTTTCATTCTCTTACATGTAGTTGTCCAGTTTTGCCAACACCAGCTGTTGAAGAGGCTGTCATTTCCCCATTGTATATCCATGGCTCCTTTATCATATATTAATTGACCGTATATGTTTGGGTTAATATCTGGACTCTCTATGCTGTTCCACTGGTCTGTGGCTCTGTTCTTGTGCCAGTACCAAATTGTCTTGATTACTGTGGCTTTGTAGTAGAGCTTCAGGTTGGGAAGCAAGATCCCCCCTGCTTTATTCTTCCTTCTCAGGATTGCTTTGGTTATTTGGGGTCTTTTGTGGTTCCATATGAATTTTAGAACTATTTGTCCAAGTTCGTTGAAGAATGCCGTTGGTATTTTGATAGGAATTGCACTGAATCTGTAGATTGCTTTAGGCAGGATGGCCATGTTGACAATATTAATTTTTTCTAGCCAAGAGCATGGAATGAGTTTCCATTTGTTAGTGTCCTCTTTAATTTCTATTAAGAGTGTCTTGTAGTGTTCAGGGTATAGGTGTTTCACTTTCTTGGTTAGGTTTATTCCTAGTTATTTTATTTCTTTTCATGCAATTGTGAAAGGAATAGTTTTCCTGATTTCTATTTCTGCTAGTTAATTGAATGCAACAGATTTCTGTGTATCAATTTTGTATCCTGCAACTTTGCTGACTTCAGATATTAGTTCTAGTAGTTTCGGAATGGAGTCTTCAGGGCTCTTTATGTACAATATCATGTCATCTGCAAATAGTGACAGTTTGAATTCTTCTTTACCAATCTGGATGCCTTGTATTTCTTTGTTTTGTCTAATTGCTGTGGCTAGGACCTCCTGTACTATGTTGAATAACAGTGGGAAGAGTGGGTATCCCTGTCTTGTTCCCAACCTTAGGTGTAAAGCTTTCAGCTTTCCACTGTTATGTATGACGTTCACTGTGGGTTTGTCATATATGGCCTTTATTATGATGAGGTACTTGCCTCTATACTCATTTTGTTGAGAGTTTTTACCACAAATGGATATTGAATTTTGTCGAATGGTCTTCAGCATCTATGGAGATGATCATGTGGTTTTTGTCCTTCTTTTTGTTGATGTGGTGGATGATGTTGATGGATTTTCAAATGTTGTACCATCCTTGCATCCCTGGGATGAATCCTACTTTATCATGGTATCTGATCCTCTTGATGTGTTTTTGAATTCGGTTTGCTAATATTTTGTTGAGTATTTTTGCATTCATGTTCATCAGGGATATTGTTCTGTAGTGTTCTTTTTTGGTGGGGTCTTTGCCTGGTTTTGGTATTACAGTGATGCTGGCTTCATAGAATGAGTTTGGAAGTATTCCCTCCTCTTCTATTTTTTGGAAAACTTTAAGGAGAATGGGTATTATGTCTTCTCTATATGTCTGATAAAATTCAGTGGTGAATCCATCTGGCCTGGAGGTTTTGTTCTTGAGTAGTTTTTTTGATTATCAATTCAATTTTGTTGCTGGTAATAGGTCTGTTTAGATTTTCCGTTTCTTCCTTGGTCAGTTTTGGAAGGTTGTATTTTTCTAGGAAGTTGTCCATTTCTTCTAGGTTTTCCAGCTTGTTAGCATGTAGATTTTCATAGTATTCTCTAATAATTCTTTGTATTTCTGTGGGGTCTGTTGTGATTTTTTCTTTCTCATTTCTGATTCTGTTAATGTGTGCAGATTCTCTTTTTCTCTTAATAAGTCTGGCTAGGGGTTTATCTATTTTGTTTATTTTCTCAAAGAAGCAGGTCTTGGTTTCATCGATTTTTTCTATTGTTTTATTCTTCTCAATTTTATTTATTTCTTCTTTGGTCTTTATTATGTCCCTTCTTCTGATGACTCTGGGCCTCATTTGTTCTTCTTTTTCAGTTTCAATAATTGTGACTTTAGAGTATTCATTTGGGATTGTTCTTCCTTCTTTAAATAGGCCCGGATTGCTATATACTTTCCTCTTAGGACAGAGTATTAAAAGGAGCCAGAGAAAGAAAAAAGATCACCTACAGAGTAAAACTCATCAGGCTATCATCAGACTTCTCAACAGAAACCTTACAGGCCAGAAGAGAATGGCATGATATATTTAATGCAAGGAAACAGAAGGTCCTTGAACTGTATCCAGCACAATTATCATTTAAATTTGAAGAAGGGACAGGGGCTTAACAGCTAATGGAATTGTCCTGGCACATTCAACCCAGCAGCCTGGGAATCCTAAGGAACTTCATGTGCCCCAAACCCCTGGGAGGTAACCCAGTCCCGAAGCCCCTCATGGTGATAAGCTATTCATTCCCCCCGGCTGGCGCTGCCCTGCCACAGCGGCAGAGCAGCCAGAGAGCAGCCCCGCCCACAGCAACCACCCAGAGTCTCCTCCCAGCATGCAGCTAACTGGGACAGACCCAGAGGCTGCTGCCAGCACAGACAGAGGAAGCCAGAGCAAGGCACGAAGGGAGACCGTTCTCGCAGGAGAACACAGGCTATGCATCTGCTACTCCCCGCAGGGAGCCAGCTGTGGGGACACGCTTGCAGTCTCTGTCTCAAATTTTAGTTTTCCGTTTCTCTAATATCCAGTACACCATGCAATGTGTGTCTGTGCTCCTGGTGCAGATTACTTGGGCTGGTTATTTACCAGCCCTGTGCTTCCACTCCCTCCCTACTCTGACTTCTTTCCTCCCGCCAGTGAGCTGGGGTGGGGAGAGTGCTTGGGTCCTGCTGGATGGCGGCTTTGTATCTTACCCTTTTCGTGAGATGCTGAGTAATTGCAGATGTAGATGCAGCCTGGCTGTTGTACTGTATCTTCTGGTCTCTCTTTGAGGTGTAGTTGTATTTGTTGTATTTTCAAAAATACACATGGTTTTGGGAGGAGATTTCCGCTGCCCTACTCACGCCACCATCTTTAGCCTCCCACCTCAAGACTTGTATATTAAAATAATTCAGGCAAGTTAGGAAAAAATGTGGATCTAAGAGGTTCTTTACATATGTAAGATAATACACAACAGTTTATTTCTGAATAGTTTTTCTTATGGAATTCTTTGTCCTGTAGGACAAATGCAGCAACTACCTATTTGATACGTTATTTTTCAAAACAAAAATTTTGATTATGATCTTTGTATTAAATACTCTTTACTCATTTTTTTGTTTTATTTTTCTATTTCATACTTCTAAATATACAGAACAAAACTAAGATCATTAAAGGAAAAGTACAATATCTTTTAACATAAAGTTTTCTATCCTTTGTCCCAAATAAACTAACTTTTAAAGTCAACTGACTTATTAAAACAGATCTGTTCAATAGCCTAACAATGGCAATGATAGACTGTCAAAGGCAATAATCTTTTTCATTTATCACAAGGCTGGTAATTAATTCATTAGCCTGCCAATCAAGTGCACTGCTAGTGAAAATTGTGAAAGTAGAATGAAGTAGCTTACCGTGCACAAGGATGTCTTTGTAATTTTCAGGGTGAAATCTGAAGAAAAGTCCAAATCTGAGGCAGATGTCATATGGCAATCTATATGCTACCCATTAAAAAAAGGGGGGGGGAGACTTTAATAAAAACAATAAAACCAAAAACCAAGCATAAATTTTACTTGTTTTATGCAAAAAGGATTACTGTAAACCAATGTTTTACAAATTTCAATCATTCACACCCCACTGTGAGGACTGTTTCCAAATTTAAGGCCTACCAGCAATATCATTTAGTTAATTTTTCTTTAAATCAAATCAGTATTTTTTACTTAGGACATCTTATAGGAACAGTATATATCAAATCATGGCTCTGATGTGTTAAAGTTTTTCTAAGACATACTAAAATACATTCAAATAGATGTTTTCCTGTGTTACATCTAAAATCAGTTTATAGATCATCAGTAGCAATACACTTACTATAAATTATGTGTGATAACTGTATTTTTATAGGAAATACCAACTTGAACACATATGCTAATGAAAAGGACAAGGTGTTTCAGAATTCATTTTTGTAACTGCATTTGAAGTTTGTTAGATATTAGGAGAAACCACAATAATTTCAACCAAAGGGGAAAATCTACTATAAAGTTTCAACTCAGGGAAAAAATGGCCAAGTATCCTTATTCTCCATTCCTCCCTGGTTAAAATCCTTCTCCATTTCCCTATGGAGAGTAGATGGCGTCAACTACAGTAGCGTGCCCAGAAGGCTGTCAAGAAATGACTTGTCAATTCTTGTAAAGGCTGTCAAGAATTGATTTGTCATGAGTAAATTCTGTGACAGTGAACACAATTATATGACTATATACTTAAGGCACTCTTCTATTTTAAACAATATGAGAAAATTCACAGAAGTTACAGTGTGGGTACCACCTTTCATTTGTAGGAGTATTGGGGAACCCAGAACAAACTATAAAAACACATAGATAATTAATTGTTTAAAAAAAGGGTATATATACTTTTTAAACACCTTTGTTTTTCAGTCCTAAATTTTCTATTTCAACTATTTATTTGTAGCAGTTTTTGGTATTAAGCTGAGATCACTACAGAGATAAATTACAACAACTCCCCCACCCCCAAGACAACCCTCCCTTATTTTGCTCAGTCTTGAGGCTGAGTTGGCTATCACTGTACATTCCTATCTGAACCAAATAATCCAAATAAATCCCTTACTATCAATGTACAGGAGCACTGAATAGTCCTATAATCATTAGCCAGACTGTATTTTTCTTCTTAAAAGCTGAATACAATTTTAATCTGCTTACTTTTATGAGAAATTTTACATGTTTACTATTCCAAGTTAACTTTAAATACTTTGCCTGCTTAATAAAATTAATAAACTTTTGCTGAATATCAACTTCGTATGTGCAGGGGACAATCACTGATGCTATGAGAGTAACAGTGTGACTAAAAAGGAAGAGATAATGTTCTAAATCTAATACTGAACAACCTACATTTATTTGATTATCCAACTGAAACAAACAAATCAGTTTTTAAGAAAAGCAATACGACTTTTCACGGCAAAGTTCTTATTTGACCCATGTAAACATGGCATAGCAAAACTCACAGTAAAACTAGAGATGAACACAGGGAAGAATAAGATATTAAAACGGAAAAGGAGCCAACTGAGAAACTGGAACATAGTAGAGCTTTACTTTCATGGGCAAGTTCACTGTAATAACTTAATCTGAAAGGCAAAGAAATTTAAATGAGAGAAGTTAAATTGTGTGGAATATATTATATGAATGAATAATCTAGCTCTAAATGTGAAGCTAGAAAAGCCAGGAGGTGCTAGTGAAGCAGAAATGACAATAGGGTATGACTTTTTGCCTTCACTAAGGTCAAGTAAATGATTCAACTCCTCAGTATAAAGAACTTCAATATAAAAAGAGAAGTGATTCCAAATGGATGATACAGTCAACTGATAAATACTATAATCTCAAGGTGCCTTAGACTGATTAAAGTAGGAAGAATAAGTACTGTTTTGAAGGCCCACATATAAAATCAATGTTAGTTTCAATTATGGAACTCCTAAATGAAAACTAAGAAAAAAAGGCAACACTATTAAAGTAAAATTCGTAAAACACCAACCTTAATACTACAAGGGTCAGAAATAAGAGTCTTTGGATCTAAAACTTCCACAACAGCTTCTGGAATAACTGCTTTCTTCATGCAGGACATGTTGAAGCCATAGACATCATCCCAAAAGGCAATTCTATCAGCATGTTTATTCACATCACTTACTGCAACAAGGCTGACAGTGCAAATGTCAGGGTAGACTGGAACAAATAAAATACCCAACAGTTAGCATTATTTCCCTTTGTGACAAAATATAATTTTTTAACAGCTATATATAAATACCACATCCATCAGTACAGAAGGTGTAGATCAGGGAAAATAACCAAGTTCCACCTTACGGCCTCTTAAAAAAAAAAGATTTCCATTACTGTAATAGTAAGACTAAAATAAAGATTTTAATGATGGGTTTCTATTAAAATAATTAAAACAGGATGACACAATTAAATAATGTTAAAATGAACATGTTTATTAATATTAAACATATAATATGCTGACTTTAACAAGGTCCTAGATCTTTATATAGTCCTCTGAAAAAGGCAGAAACAGACAAATCATTTAAAAAGATAAGAGACATGTGAAAAAATCAAGATGAAATTTCATAGTTGTGTAGAAAATCAGTTCTTTTTACCCTCTCTTATTTATCATAAAAAGGAAATATTTATGAGCATTAAGTATGTGCCAGGTAAGTTATGCTGACTTACATTGTGGATACATGTCCCCATTCTCAAGAAACTTGTATTTAGACAATTTTGACAAATAAATGAGCAATCCTTTGCAAGGTAATAAATAATAAGAAAGGGGAAGTTTAAGGTACTGAGGGAGCTCACCGTAAAATAGCTACTCCAGATTTGGCTCTAGCGGGGGTACAGGGATATTATATAAGGCAGGAACTGAAGACCAAGTTCATTAGGAGTGGGGAGGGAAAGTGTTCTAGGCAGGGCGAGCAGTGTATATACAGGGTCACAATTAATATACACTCAGTTTGAGAGAAAGAGTGAGATACAAGGTAGGGAGCAAAGAAAATATGGCTGAGTAAACCACATTAGTAAATTGTACTTTATTCCAAGAATAATGAAGAGCCAGTGAAAAATTTTACATGGCGTAGGGACGTGATCAAATTCTGGTTTTAAAAAAGCCACCTTGAGTGCAATGTGGAGAAATCGATGAGAGGGTGCAAGACTAAGAAAGAGCCAAAGTAAAGGACTATTGTGATAATCCAGGAGATCTGTAGTAAAGTGATGGCTGTGGAAGTGGAAAGGAGGACATCTACTCAAGGGATACTTAGGAGGTAGAACTCATAGGCCTATAAAGATTGGCTGGCTGTGGAGATAAGGAGGGAAGAGCCAAGGTTAACAGTTTTTAGCTTTAGCAACTGGGCAGATTGTGGTACTATCCATTATAATAGGGAATAAATATGGGCAGATTTGAGAGGAATATGAGAGTTTGCTTATGAGATAAATGGGTAAAAATATCCAATAAGCAGTTGAATATACAGGCTTGAAATTCAAAAGAGACTATCTAGGTTCAAGATACAGATTTGGAACAATGCACATATAAATGGAAATATAAGTCTGAGGGCTCATGAGGTCACCTAGGGGGTGGATTTAAGGGGATGTGTAGAAGAAAAGGAGGCTTAAATCTAAAGGACTAGATTTAAGCGGATGTGTAGAAGAAAAGGAGGCTGGGAAGAAATGGCAGAGAAGCTGAGGCCACAGAAGTAAGAGGAGAACCTAGAGAGTAAGTATTAAGAGACAGATTTAGAAAGAAACCCTCTTCAGTAACAAGTAAAAATCTTTGTAACACAGGATTTTTAAAATACCATTGATTTTCTTTGTTGTTTCACTAATAAATAACATAATAAATTTTGTCCTTCAAGTATCAACATTTGGGAGATTCATGAATTAAAATATAAATCACATTCTTCCTATATTAACAGTCTGAAAGCAAGTACATATATACCACAGAAATATACAAAAGAAATAATTTCATGATTATTAACAACCTGCAGAATTAAGCAGTAGAGAAATAACCCTCTTTTTTCCCCAAACTTTGTTTCTAACCACAACCTTAAGAATTTTATTATTCAGTGACAGCAGCACTAAATTATCTTCCAAATAAAGAGCATGATAAGATCTGCTGGCATCCAAACAATTGCTTCTTCCAAATCTGATGTGTAAGACACCCAGAAAAAATACCTGGTGCTATGTCACCGGTAAGAAGTTTCTCAAGTCTTCCCTAACAGGGCATGTGAGGCAGATGTGATATCTGCACTGGGAGAGAGTCAACTCCCATGCAAACTGAGTTATTTTTATTCTCCTCTTCCTCCACAGACATGGTAAGCCTCTTCACTGTTCAATTTTTCAAAGTAACTGATTTGTTAATAAAAAATGCTGACCCAACTCTCTGGAGGACTTGTGCCGGGGGATGATCATCAAAAAGCCTCCACAGGTATCCGGACGATGCTGCGGTTGTGGCTGCATCCAGCCCACCGTCTCCTGGACTTGCCATAGGAATGAGGAGGGAGATGTCTAGGCTGGCATGTGCATACAGTGAGACAACGAATTTGACCGGATCTGTACTGTTGGAACTCAACCAGGAGTTGGGAGGGGTGCAAGTTGTAGCACTCCAAAATCTCATGACTATAGACTATCTATGGTTAAAAGAACATATGGGATGTGAACAGATCCCAGAAATGGGCTGCTTTAATTTGTCTGATGGTTCAAGTACAGTTGGACAATATCCATCATATCATAGATAAATTTTCACAAATGCCTAGGGTGCCTAAATGGTTTTCTTGGCTTCACTGGAGATGGATGGTAATTATAGATTTGCTTTGTTTATGTCACCGTATTCCTATTATGTTAATATGTGTGTGCAAATTAGTTAGTAGTTTAAAACCTATACATACTTAAGGTACTATACAAGAAGATATGTCAAAGAAATAATCAATCCTCCCAAGTTTCCTTCATATGCTACATCTATAGCTTTTCTTCTTCCTTCCTAATTACAACCCTTAAATAGAATTCGTGCCTCATATCGAATTTACCGAGTATCATAATTCCTCCAGGTGGTAAAGATACCTCGAGACAAGTGCTGGGCATAGAAGCCACAGGGCATAAATCTGCAAAGAAGTAAAAAGCTAACCTTTGCAAACAATATGGCTTCTCTCTCACTTACCAACTTTACATTTCCCTGTATGGCCCCGGAAGATGACTGGTTAGCCAGAGACGGGTAAGATTCCTCAAGGGAGGAACAACCTAAGACAGGCACAGTCGCAGGGGGGCCATCAGGTGAGAATTTGGGGATCAACAGAGGTGAGGCTCAGAACCTCACCCCCCCTGCTTTGAGAGAAATCTTCTGCATCCGTGGATGTCTTGCTGCCCTTGTCTAGCCTGGATTAATACTTAGTCCATAGGCACACACCTGATCATCTGATCATCTACATTTGCCTTCTTACAGCACTAAACTATGTTTTCTACCTTTATCTTGCATCTACCTACCACTTCAGCATTTTATTAAAAATAAAAATAATAATAATAATAGGAGAAATGTGGGATCAACATATAAATCAAGTACAAAAATCAAATGAATATTCATATTTGACCTGATGGTTTATAGGTCATATTGCATGATCAAAACCGATAGTTTCTGTGATGAATGCCCTTGTACTGTTCACCATGTAAGAATTTATTTACTATGTAAGAATTCGTTCACCATGTAAGAACTTGTTTGTTATGCTTCAGAAGATTGGAGACTGACGAGAATTAGGCTTGAGATGGATTAATGATTGTACATTGAGCGATGACCCCCCTATACTGAATTTTATTGTTGTTAACAACCATTTGATCAATAAATATGAGAGATGCCCTCTCAAAAAAAAAAAAAAATGCTGACCCAGCAAGAGTATCAGCTATAAAAAAATTCTATGTTTAGTTTTCTGAACCACATCCTGAATTCTGAAACACCTTTAGCTATTTAGTGACTTCTTTATGTATCTTTTGCTAGACTTACTATGACAATCATAGCTTTCCCATGTTATTATACTGTGGAATGTCATCCTTAAGGAGGGACATAGTAAGATAGAACTGGGACTCAGCAAACATTTTCTGTAAAGTAACTGTTTCAGGTTTTGTGGGCCATCCGGTTTTTGTTGAAACTACTGATCCCTATAGGGTGTGAAAGCAGCCACAGACAAGATGTAAATAAACGAGCATGGCTATCTTCCAATGAAAGTTTATCTGCAAAAACAGGCAGTGGGCCTGATACAGATGTAGAAGACACAGATGAGGGAGGTCATTATCAGGTCCATTGTACTAGACTATTTCAGGCGATGCCATTCACACTGTAGTCCAGGGGAGCCAAATATCCTTTGGAGTTGTAGAGTGGACAGACATTCAAGTTGCTTAACATAATTCACAAGAGTTCTTCTATTTTAGGATATTATTAAAAATTTTAGTGAACTTTAAAAAAATAGTATCAGTCTCTCTATCAGGGTAGGCAAACTATGGCCCACGGGTCAAATTCAGCCCACTGCATATTTCTGTAAATAAAGTTTAACTGGAACAGAACCACACTCAATTATTTACCTATGGTTTATGGTAGCATTGTGTTACAGTGGCAAAGTTGAGTAGCTGAAACAGAGACTGCATTGCCTACAAAGCTGAAAATATTTACTATCTTAATAGTTTTTTATAGAAAAAGTTAGATGACCTCTAACTCTCTGTATCAAGCAAATGATGCACTAGTACTACTACTAAGACATAAGGCTTAATTTTTTCATAAGGAAAAACTACAAATTACTAAAACTAACTAAAACCAGTCTTGAAAATATACTGGTAATAAGAAATGAACAAAAGAAGAATATGATTTTACTTTTTCTAGTGTTGAGGTATATTTTTCAAGCTAATTATACTTCACAAAATACAATCATGGTTCTTGTTAGAATTTAGGAATGCAATTGCTTATTCCTCAGTTAGTGAGATCTACGAATATTACTAAAGGATTTGTAATCAGTGTTATAGGTCAATTTGATTCTATATCCACCTCCTCACAGCTGGCTAAGATTTTGGGCCACTTCCCAGAATTTTGACTAACTCTTTACCTTCACATTCTGACACATTTGTCATTTGATTTTTGTCAGATAGAAGCATAATTGAATAATTATTCCTTCTTGTAGGCTAAATCAACAAAGCACTGATTGGACAAAGGCACCCTCTTAATAAACCATTTATAAATTCATGGCTTTGACATCTGTGTCCTTCTCGATTCACTACCCAGAATTCATTTGTCACTAGAACAGCTCACATGGTGAATAGATAAAGATGGGAAAACCTTTATCCCTTAGAGATGCCTCACAAACTTTTGGACACTAAAGGGTAAGACTGAGATGCATAAAGAAATACTTCTTAGAAAACACTAGCACATTGCTTTTGTATAAATAAACAAAAAGTAAAAAGCCTTAGTCAAAAACACCTATTCTTTTCACAATATATGTGAATAAGAAGAAAGATTTTATCAAGTAATAGCCAGTGATAAAACAAGTGATATTTATAAAGGGGAATGTATTACTACTATATACCTAAATTAGCAAATATTTTGGGAGTTGAGTAAACTAAAAAATAAAATTTCGATTTATTTTTTATTATTTCATAATAAGGGTACCTTAAAAAATTAACTACTAGTTATTTGGAAATTGGAAACATTTTCACATGATTAACTTGTAAATAGTGACTGCCTTATAATACTTAAGCTAAGCTAAAATGTAGCTGTAGTAGACCCTGAAAAAAGTAGAAAGTGATACTACCGCAATATCACTGAACAAAACCAAAATAATGAATGTGAAAAATGCACATTTGATGATGAGGAAGCAGACAGTGAATTATGAAAATACTAAAGGAAATCTCTAAGCACTATGAGCCAGTGTCAGTGGCTGATTACACAGAGATAAACTATGTAAAAATAAAATCATATATAGAAGTTGTATGTTAAAGGATTTGTAATCAGTGTTATACTTCAATTTGGTTCTATATTCACCTCCTCACAGCTGGCTAAGATTTCGGGTTACTTCCCAGAATTCTGACTAACTCTTTACCTTCACATTCTGGCACATTTGTCATTTGATTTTTAGTTCTTACTGGTTCAAAAGGGTTTAGTGCGGGACCTGAACATCCATATTTTTAACAAAAGGCCCCAGTGATCGTGACAGTCTGTCAAGATTAGAAAACAGTGAATTAGGAATTGGCTACCTTAGATATTTTGTGTTGTAATGAACACAGTCCTGAACTTTACAATCTTGACAATTATAACCCAAGGAAGATGTGTATTCTAAAGGACTCCATAAGGAATTTGAATTGAGTTCTGACCATGTGAGGCAGGGGAGTGGGGGCGGGGTGGGGTGTGTGTGTGTGTGTGTGTGTGTGTGGAGGGGGTCCTTTCATTTTACTTGTAATGAAAGGCAATGAAAACAACACTCTTTTCTAACATGGAAGATGTCTCCTTTAATGGGCCCCTACATTTTCTATGTAAGTAAGGATTTTATAATCAAATCTAAAACTTCACAACAGCTTTTGGAGTAACTGCTTTCTTCATGAAGGACATATGTGTGCCTCTAGAAAGTACACAGAATTGGGTTTTCTTTTGTAATCCAGTCTGAAATTCTTTTTCTTTGAATAGGCAAATTTAGCCCATTTACGCTTACTGATATAAGTATTTTTTTGTTCACAATTCTACTGTTTTATGTTATCTTCTCTGTATCTATAGTTTTTTATCTTTTTAAGTAGGTCACTACATAGTCTTTTTGCTTTTTCTCTAACTACTAGTTCTTATATTCAGAAAGTTTTGTATTTTTGTTCTAGTATCTAATTTTATGATTATAGCTTTATAGAATATCTTTAGCTCTCCATTTGCAACACTACTTCCTCATTTATCATGACTAATGATAAAATTACTATATTTCCTTGCTCTTCCCCTTCTCTTCCCTTTTTATAATAACCTAATTATTAAGATAATGACTATTAATGAGAGGTGTACTGATAATGCTAACAACAAACACCAAAGTGGGCACACAGTCAGTACACAGCTTTTTAATATATTTTTCAGAAAAGTTAGAAATCAAATTATGTCATAATTCATTTGACCTGAATGTGGTGGCAAATGCCACTTCACTTTTTTAAAAGTCATTTTTATTAGGTGTAATGTACATGCAGTAATTTAAAAACTCACTCCTTTTGCCCTTCTTGGTATATAATTCTATGTGATTTGATAAATACATAGTCATGTAATCACCACCACAATCAAGATTCAGACAGGATCTATCACCACTATCATCACAAACCTCACCACTAAATTTAAATCAACAGAATAATTTCAATATTGCTTTTGCAGTGCTAAATGTGCTTATAATTCTATTACTTGATTTGTCAGCTTTAAATGGTATCTCATAAAGACCTGCTATTAAAGATAAAGCAAGTGAAATATACATACTTCTTCCCACATGTCTTCTGCATTCCCTTCTCAATTTTGCGAGATGTAGTATTTGATATTGTTAGGGTATAAGACATTTAACATTCTTTGATGTCATCCTAAAACATACTTTATTTTTGTCTTTATTCTAATTGTAAAAATACTCAATGGTTGCTACCAAACATTTTCTTATTCAGAAAGATTTGTATTTTGTTTTCCTCCTCATCTCTTGGTTGGTCGAACTGTAAAACACTGTAATTCCTAGAATACATAATTAGTGCTTGTTAAATCTTAGCCAAAAATAAAAGTAGTCTTCAGTAAACCCACTTTCATTAACTTTATAAGATTATTTTTATTAGTAGTAATAGTCGTAAATGAGTACCTCTAAAGTAGTACTGTGGAACTGATTTGTGGTAACAGGGAAAATGTTTCTCAAGTTATTGGCTGACAGTGTTTTATAAAGGTTTTACTCCATGCCATTTGATATTTACAGTGAGACATAAAATGAACATAAATTCATGTAAAAATAAATAGGGGTCCCCTTAGACTTATATGAATCTGCAATATTCTCCATCTCTAATAATTCAATCATTCTTTCTATAATCTTTATATTACTAATTGCTTAGTAAGCCCTTCCTTCAGAAAAACTAAAGAAAATTTTGCTTTGCAAGAGAAAAATGAGCACCTTAGATGAATGGTGATATTCATCTAGGCATACTCAAGTACACAGAACAGACTAAATAGGCTACTTCACGTTATTCATTTCTGATTTTTCCTTCTTGTCTCTTTATTCTGTAAACAAGTAACATTCAACAGCACTGGTTAGGCAGTTAAATACTGACCTCTTCAATATACCTCAGATTATCTTAATGCTGTTAGCTATATAAAAATATGGAAAGAGCTAAATTTATGAGCCTCTAATTTATCCCTCTGATGATGGGAAATAGCTCTGCCATTGTTTTGTCAACTATAACCTCATTATTCGCATGCTCTAGGTTCTTAATGAATTTCATCAAGAATTCAATTTAAGTTTATTAAGTTTCTGTCAGTCCTTCAGTAAGATCAATGAATACTATTCAGGGAGGTATGGAAACAGCTTTCTGAACTGAACCCTCCCTAGAACAACTTCAAGGCAAGAATCAGTGTGCTTTGGGACCGGAAAGAACAAGGGATAGTGAAAACATGAATATTGCAATCATAAGCTCTGAATTAAAATGAAACAAAATAAACAACAAAAAACTTGACTTAAGGCTTGACTACTTAATATGTGTCATCCAGGACACCTTTGTTTCTAAAAGTCTCAAAGGGCTCTTTTAAGAATTATACATAATAACAAAAATAAAGCTAGAGTCTATTATTTAGCAGCTGGTAGACAATCAACAAATGGTAGATAATATTAGTTATCAGTCATTACGTATGATGCTGCCATTTTAAAAAGCCACTGCTTCTATATCAAAGAGTCAGTTGTTGCAGGATAAAATATATCTAAAAATGCTAACGAGGTTCATGTCAGAGATCAGGAACATATCTTGAGGTGGCTGTATAAAATACAGTAATAAAGTGAGTATCTTGAAATAGACAATCTCTTTAAATGTTAATATAAAACAACTATTGTATGGGAGCCGTTTCTCTGCTTTGCTTTTTCCTTACTGATTTTTACTGCACCAAAGTAATTTCTAAAATTGCCAAAGTAATTTCATTGAATATGGATGGACAGGTGGCATAAGTATGGTCAAGTGCTTTATGTCACTGGTTCAAAATGTGTCCTTTTTGTCCACTTCTGTGTAACAGTTATTAACTGTACTCTGACTGTGGAAACCATCTGTTGATCCTGAAGTTTTGAGAAAGGGAAGGTACAGGGAGAGATGAGTGAATGGGAACAGATGCTATTCAAATTCAGTTTCAATGATTCAACTCAATAAACTAATTTATGTTCCAGGAGCTGTAGGGCTTGCTGAAGAGTCAAAGATGAACAAAACATAATCCCTACCCTGAAAGAGAACATTTTGTTTGTATGTGACTGTTTACAGCAGAAGGCCTATAAAACACAATCTCACTCTGAGTATGCAGGTTAATATTAAGTTTACCAGGGACATGAAAAGAAAGCTTTCCAAATTTATTGGGACCCACTTAGGAATACTGATTGGGTATGCTTCACTTTAAAAAGCTGGTAGAAACCAGTCACTTTTTAAGTGTTCTTAATACATCACAGATAATCCAGGCTTATATATTTAGTGAAATCATGGAAAATTTGCTTAGCAGCAAAAGTGAAAAATCTCCAGCCTAGTATGAAATACTCTACTGGAAAAAAAAAAAAGAACTAAATGTCATAGAGTTAAAAATCAAAAGGAGTTTCTGTTAGATTTTGATTTCAGTATCAAATAGCTTCCAAACCTAGTCATATTTTTATAAAAAGTGTTATTGGAAATACCATTAACTTTGAGTACTGCATATCTTATACAATGTTCTACTATCAACAGTATAGCAAATGAATGTCTTAAGGCTTCATGTAATGGAAACATCTTTCATCTCTACTGGGAACTTTCTCAGTCATGCATAGTTTATTTGAAGTCCAAAGGTTCATTTGGTCCTGCCAGACTAAAATTTGATTATTAAAACTAGAATTTTATACTCACCTGATCCTCCTTTTGCCAAGTATTTGTTCTTTGCATAAAGGACAGAATCTAACATAGACTCAAAAAGAAGAAAATAGCCCTGTATAAAAAAGGTAAAAAGGATTTTAGATATGTGCAATATCTTCACACATAGATCAACTTAAATATCTGGCCGACTACTCTTTTCATAAAAAATATATTCTTTGTCTTTGCCATATAAATTCCTGCAAAGTTTGGAATTATTTTTACATTAAGTTCTCTATCTAATAATTATTAGAAAATCAGGCCAGGGTATAAAGTGAACCCAGCCAGAAAGCTTATTACTATAGAAAATACTGATCCTTCTTTATCTGTGCTTCCACTCTCTAGACTATGGTTTCTTCTTCATTAAAAGGAAAATCAGAGATAGAAATTATCAATCTGTCCTATAATTCCCTTGGGATATTGCAATATGAATCTACAGCAGTGGTTCTCAACTAGATTTTGCACCCTAGGGGGCATCTGGTAATGTCTGGAGACGTTTTTTGATTGTCACAGCTGGGGCTAGGGGAAGCTACTGATATCTCACAGGGAAAGCCACGGGCAGCTGATAAACATTCCACAATGCACAGGATAGCCCACACAACACACAGCTATCTTGCCCAAAATGTCAGTAAGGCTGAGGTTGAGAAATCCTAGTCTAGAACACCATTTCCCAAAGCAATTCCTTCCCAGTGACTTTCTCTTTGGTTAAAAAAAAAAAAAAAGAAGGGTATCTTTAATCAGAAGGTTGACACATACAACAGATGCTTTTATTTTCCTCTTAGAGATTCATAATGCATACTAGCACTCTAGTAGTACTGAGAAGGGTTATGGTGAAGAGGATTGCTGAATATATTTTAACAACGAATTACTTATAGACCTCTTCATTTTTTTTTTCTATGCTACACCTATTAACACCTTGCACAACTAGTGTTGTTGAATGTTCATGAAATACAGCCCTGGTGTCCTCAAGATTTCAACAGTAATAAATCCTCTACCAAAAAATTAAAAAACATAGCACAATGAAAAGACAATTTGCCACTACTGGTGTCACAAACTACATTCTCATAGTATGCTACACAGTTTATTACAGAAGTCACACAGAAGCCTGTGTGAGAGATCGGTGACAGCTTCGGTCATTCTTTCTCCTTCTAGGGCCCACCCCACAACCACCCTGAGTAGGAGGGAAAGTCAAGTGCTCATTGCAGTTGCTTAGCACATAATATACCTTATTATTGCTCAGCGAAAATCAATGAGAGCTTTACCCTAATGATAACATTCTAAATCAAGGCTGTTCTCATTTACTCATTTGTTCTGTGGACAAGTAACTACCTGACAGGATAAATACAGTATTCTTTAATCACATAAACAAAGACTTTTAAAGCTATCTCTAAAACAAGAAAACCTGAAATGGATAATCTTCACTAGATTAACAGCAAATTTAAATTTATAGAAAATAAAGCTCTTAGGCTTGAGTCACTTATAAAGAAACCTAATTAAATTGCCACTAGCAACTCTACACTGGCATTTACCTACTACCCCAACACACCAATTCACTGATAAGAAAATAATTGCCTGCAAAAGACTTAGCAACAAAGCTCTTTCATTAATGTGTTTACATTAGGAAAATTAAGCATTGATGGAACTAGTTTTTCTGGTTGGAGTCCTTCAGTGATATGTCTAACTGTTACTAGATAGTTCCCCACTAATATCATCTATGTATTCAAAGAACAGGATTTTTACAATTAAACTAAGAAATCTTTCTCCATATGACATTATTCATGCAGATCTATACAAACAAATGTTTAAAAAATAAGCATTCATCCACTGACTAGGGTGAATTATAATTTATATCAAGGAATTACTAAAACAGGAGGTAGCCATTTACTTTATGGGAAAAAGATAAGCTGGTAAAACATACTAATAGGTTTGCAGAAAAATGGTCATTATTAGCAAGATTATGCATGTTACAAGATTAAAATAAATAAATTCACATTTTGGTACAAATTATTCATTATAATCCAATCTTTTTTGAAAAAGGGCAAAAAAGTTTGTTATTGATTTGCTACTGTCAAACTATTCATAGCATTACTCTTCAAAGCAATTAGCTAAACCTAAGAATTTTGCTGCCACATGTTCAAACTCCATCAAACAAAAATCTTTGCGATCAGTAAGTTAAAGTAGCTCCATCTAGCAACTTGCTCATTTATTGCATTTAAGATAGAGTTATTATTAGCCGTTCACCACAGATTAAATTACACTATTTTAAACTGCTCCTAAGGTCAATACCAACAGTATAGTGTTTAAGAGGGTGGACTTTAGGGTTTAAATCCAAGAAGAGCCCCTTTCCCAACTGACCTTGAGCAAGTTAACATCACTGAGTATCAGTTCCTTCTTCTGTAAAATGCCAATAAAAATAAGTTTCTACTTCTTAAGTTTATAGTGAAGAGTAAATACATTAAAACTCTTTAACATAATACTATGTTAAATATGTCAAAGGATTTGAAACCATAAATCTTACTAGCTTAAAGAAATTAGGAGTTACTATGAATATAAAGTCTGCAATGTTAATAAGTATATACTTATCAATAATCACCCTAAATGTAAATGGTCTGAATGCACCAATCAAAAGACACAGTCACTGAACGAATAAAAAAACAATACCCATCTGTATGCTGCCTACAAGAGACTCACTTCAAACCCAAAAACACACACAGACTGAAAGGGAAGGGATGGAAAAAGATATTTCATGCAAACAATAGGGAGAAAAAAGCAGGTGTTGCAGTACTTGTATCAGACAAAATAGACTTCAAAACAAAGAAAGTTACAATAGACAAAGAAGGACATTACATAATGATAAAGGCATCAATACAACAAGAAGATACAACCACTATAAATATCTATGCTCCCAACACAGAACCACCCACATATGTGAAATGAATACTAACTGAATTAAAAGGGGAAATAGAATGCACTGCATTCATTCTAGGAAACTTCAACATTCCACTCACTCTGAAGGACAGATCAACCAGACAAAAGATAAGTAAGGAGACAGAGGCACTGAACAACACAATAGAACAGATGAACCTAAAAGACATCTATAGAACACTCTACCCAAAAGCAGCAGGATAAGTAGTCTTCTCAAGTGCACATGGAACATTTTCAAGAACAGATCATATATTAGGCCACAAAAAGAGCCTCAGTAAATTCAAAAATATTGAAATTGTACGAACTAGCTTCTCAGACCACAAAGGTATGAAACTAGAAATAATTTGAAGCAAAGAAAATGAAAAAGCCCACTAACACATGCAGGCTTAACAACATGCTCCTAAATAATCAATGGATCAGTGATCAAATAAAAACAGAGATCAAACAATACATGGAGACAAATGACAACAATAATAAAGGAGACAAATGACAACAATAATACAACACCACAAAATCTGTGGGACACAGCAAAGGCCGTGCTAAGAGGGAAGTATACTGCAATACAGGCCTTCCCTAGGAAAGAAGAACAATCCAATATGAACAGTCTAAACTCACAATTAATGGAATTAGAAAAAGGAAGAACAAATGAGGCCCAAAGACAGTAAAAGGAGGGACATAATAAAGATGAGAGCAGAAATAAATAAAATTGACAAGAATAAAACAATAGAATCAATGAGAGCAGGAGCTGGTTCTTTGAGAAAAAAAACAAAATAGATAAATCCCTAGCCAGACTTATCAAGATAAAAGAAAGTCTACACAGATAAACAGAATCAGAAATAGAAAGGAAAAATCACTATGGGCACCACAGAAATACAAAGAATTATTAGAGAATACTATGAAAAAGTATATGCTAACAAACTGGATAACCTAGAAGAAATGGACAACTTTCTAGAAAAATACAACCTTCCGAGGCTGACCCAGAAAGAAACAGAAAATCTGAACAGACTAATTACCAGCAACAAAATTGAATTGGTAATCAAAAAACTACCTAAGAACAAAACCTCTGGACCAGATGGATTCACTGCTGAATTCAATTAAACATTTAGTGAAGACCTAATACCCATTCTCTTTAACGTTTTACAAAAAAAGTAGAAGAGGAGGGAATACTTCCAAACTCATTCTATGAAGCCAGCATCACTCTAATACCAAAACCAGGCAAAGACCCCACCAAAAAAGAACATTACAGACAAATATCCCTGATGAACATAGATGCAAAAGTACTCAACAAAATATAAGCAAACTGAATTTAAAAACACATCAGAAAGATCATCCATCATGATCAAGTAGGATTTATTCCAGGGATGCAAGGATGATACAATATTGAAAAATCCATCACCACCATCCACATTAACAAAAAGGACAAAAACCACATGATCATCTCCATAGATGCAGAAAAAACATTCGACAAAATTCAACATCCATTCATAATAAAAACTCTCAACAAAATGGGTATAGAGGGCAAGTACCTCAACATAATAAAGGCCATATATGACAATCCCACAGTCAACATCATACTTAACACCAAGAAGCTGAAAGCTTTTCCTTTAAGATTGGTAACAAGACAAGGAAGGATGCCCACTCTCCCCACCTTTATTCAACATACTTCTGGATGTCCTACACTGCTGGTGGGAATGTAAACTAGTTCAACCATTGTGGAAAGCAATAGGAGTTTCCTCAAAAAACTAAAAGAAGAAATACCATTTTACCCAGGAATCCCACTCCTAGAAATTTACCCAAAGAATATAATTTCTCATATTCAAAAAAACACATGTACCCCTATGTTTATTGCAGCACTATTTACTATAGCAACACATGGAAGCAAGCTAAGTGTCCACAGTAGATGAATGGATAAAGAAGATGTGGTACATACACACAATGGAATACTATTCACCCATAAGAAAGTAATAAATCCTACCATTTGCAACAACATGGATGGAGCTAGAGGGTATTATGCTCAGTGAAATAAGTCAGGCAGAGAAAGACAAATACCAAATGTCCCTCATTTGTAGAGTATAACAACAAAGCAAAACTGAAGGAACACAATAGCAGCAGACTCACAGACTCCAAGAAGGGACTAGCTGTTACCAAAGG